CACACAGACAGCCTCTTCCCAATATGCGTTTTTGCAATTTGCATATATGCAGAAACGCATAAAAACGACCTTTAAACAGAAGTTGTTTATTTCCTTTTATGCAAAATTTACGATGATTTACGGTACTGAGCAAACAAAGCAGGTGTGAAGAAACAATCGTTCATGCAGTTAACCTAATTACCTCAAACTCGGTGCAAAAACGCATGATTGCACCGCTCGCCTGATGCGTTTCAGCTTGGGTTAATAATCTGATGCTTCCTTTGCTCGTTCATCTGCTTGATAGATCGGCTCGAAAATCAAAATCGCCTGATTGACAATTTGATGTGTGAAACATAGTGCCATCACCAACAATCATTTCGGTGTCAAGTTTGCTTCATTCATCAGCATCACCAATGATTTACCTGCCCCCTAAAACTGACCTTACGGCACTAGCAGGCAAATGCTGATGGTAGTGCATCTCTATTCGAACTGATAGTTTGAACAGCTGTAGTTCATAACATCATTCCTCAGCTATGCAGATAGCAACTTTACCATTCGTAGTCCAGTGCTTTAATTCGTCTTTCGAAACAGCAGAGAATTCGGAACGCTGAAAGACTCTCCTAAGCAGCAGACTTTTCAAACGTTTTAAAGCATAAACAATTTTACACTATTTGCGATTCTGCCCGAAAATAACAGCCGAAAAGGAACTTTAGGCTTTATTCGGCTGCATAAATAATTCACTGGTCTCCAGGAGCGTAATACCTTTCAATAATTGTGGGCGAGGAATAACTTTCAAACACATTATCAAAGCAATGGAGTGTCCACTGAGCGTTAAACACTAAAATGCCGCGGTTGATTCAATCACGCACATGCCCGACCAACGGCAAAAATTTGTTGTGGTGTGTGCGAACAATACACCACATAGTGCATCCAGCATATAATTTCCAATTCCGTTTTTATGCTTTTTTGCTACAGCGTTACTGTGGTGCCACAGCCAGCAAAAACGCATACTCTTGAGAGGTGCAAATCATTCCAGAAATCTGATTGATCGCAAAAAGCAGCAGCTTAAGCAGGCAGCAGGTCAAGAAGAGTGTTTACCTCAAAGTACCGTTTTTGAACCGACGACCCCAGCTAGCATCACACTTCAGGAGAGCATGTAAACAACAACAAACTGTTGCGAATAACGACTGCAGTGGCCTCTTCTTTCTCTGCATCATCATCACAGCAGCTGTTCTTTCCCGAACATTGGCACTGGGAGGATAGTAGTCGCTAACTCGAAACAGGACGTGAGCCAGCGCACAGTATTTGCGTAATGGGCTGAAACATCCAATTACGTCAAAATTGAGTAATGTAACCGGCGTGACAGCTGCCACGTTGCACTTCTGTGCCTGCATAATGCAATACCAAGTTGTTGATCACTTTCCTACTGCACTGTTCCGCAAAAATTTCCCCACCACTGCAACATGACGCTTGTCGGATGGCAGAAAACGCACACAGAAGATTTCTTGCTCTTCGGTTCCAAAAATTCGAGCAACTGAAAGAAAAAGCACTTACAGCACCTGGGATTCCCAGGCCGTCTCCGATCCAAGTACTAACCAGGCCCAACGCTGCTTA